GGAGCCGCCGTCGCGAGCGCGTCTGCCCCAGCGTTCCCGGTGCCGCATCCCGGGGAGCCGCCGGGAGCCGCGCTGGCAGCGGCGCCGGCGAAGCCCCCGTGCCTTTGGGATCACCTCCAGCCCCGGCCTGGCCGCGGCGCGGGCAGCGCCGGCTCGGGCAGCGCCCGTGCACAGACTTGCAGCTTCTCCCCTTTGTTTCCGTAGTCCTGATGAGAAACGAAGTTTAGGGTGTCCAAGAGCAATCGTGCATCAGCGCACAACCTCAGGATTTCCTTGCTCTTGTACGGTCAAATTCTTTGCTGTAATTTTGCATTTGTCAGAGCTATCAGATTGGGCTGACTATACCCAGATCAGGGGGTTTACTGAGTCTTGGACTGGCTCTATATGTAAAATAAGGTTCTTGAGCCTGTGCCGGGGCTTTCTGGATGGGGAGGCTTTGCTTGTGTTGCTTTGTTCATCTCGAGACAAAAAAGGGTCTCTCCTTTCGCCCATGCATGCTGTGCTGTGCTGTGCTGTGCCCGGTGGCTGCTCTCAGTGCTGCACAGCGGGAGACACGCGGGAGTGCAGGGACGGTGGGGCTGGTGGGGCCCTGGCTTTGCTCAGCTGGGACCAAACGCTCAGCCGGGCCTGGGAGTTCCTGGCAGCTCCTGTGAAAGGGACTGGGGGATCTCAGTCAGAAGGGCTGTGTCTGAGGTGAGAAACTTCTTCCTGGAAGCGCGGGAGTGCGTACGATGCCTTGGCAGTTTTGGGAAATCTCCATAGCATTTGGCTCTGATCCTGCACATGTTGGAGAAAAGGACATGGAAAGGAGGCTTTGAAGCTGCATGAGTATCTGACACCTGCCCTAATGTTGTTCTGCTCTTGTTTTGATCTCTTTAAACAAAAGCTCAGTGTTTGTCTTATTCCTCTTGCTATAGCCAGGGGGGAAAGGAACTTTGATCCTTCCTCTCTTGTCCTTATGAAAAATGAAAGCCCCTTGTAACAGCTTGCTTGCAGGGAGAGGCCCTGCGAGCTGTGCACAGCCATTTTCCCTGGGAATCGAGCTGTGCTGGTAGCTGCAGACTGCAGGCTGCTGTTGAGTTTCTCCTCGCAGCTGGTTGTGGAAGGTTTGGGGACTGCAGGGGCCGCGTGTGGTGGCGGTGGCGCCTGTGCCCATTGTGGCCGCTCCGCAGTGGCAGCTGCCCGTTCCACTCTGCTCCAAGGCGTATGGAGCTGCCTGACAGGACACATGGGCCGGTGCAGCCGCAGGGCAGGTTTGTCCCTCCTGTGAAGTGTGAGATTTCTCTGAGCATGTGCTGCATCCAGGCAGCACGAGCGCAGCGGCTTCGGGTGCCAGTCTGCAGCACAGTGGGGACATCCCGTCCTCCAAACGCCTTCCCCACCTGCCCTGTCCTTGAGTCTCTGTGAGAAGCTGATGTGCCCCGTGCAGAATGGGAGGCAGAGGGGGGATCTGCTGTCACGCCGGGCCCTGGAGCCATGGCATTCTGGCACCGCTGCCCGCACGGAGCCATGTGGCTGCTGCTCTCCGGACTCCCCTTCTGGCAAGTTCCCGGCTGCATGTCCTTGGCACGGAAACGACTTCCCTGCACAGCCCGGTTGTCTTATGGCACAACAGGGAAACTCCTGTTTGACAGGATGCCGCTTGGTTGGGGAATGCTGCTCCCCAAAGGGCTGGGTGCCTCCCGGATACCCACGGGAAGGCTCCTCCCCAGCCCTGTGCAGTCAGAGGTTTCCTGACCACACACGGTGCTCTGCAAAGTGCTGGCAAGCTGCATCTCTGCGCTTCACGGCGTGAAGGGGCACGGGAGGACCATGAGGCACCGCAGGGAGAGGGACTTTCGCAGCGACGCTGTCGCTGTGTCCCGCTGGGATCTGGGGACCTGCGCAGCCGCCTGAGTTTGGCAGTGAGTGCTGAGGCTGCTTGTGCTGCAGCTCCCGGCTCTGCTGCGTGGCCGCCTCTTCTTCAGGCAGGAGGTGGCTCTGGCCTGGGAAGGGTTTGCTGCTACTTGCACACTCAAGCAGAGAAAAAATGCAAGGCCGTCCTTTGCAAGCAGAAATAACTCCTCCAGGCTCCCTGTGGAGGCTGGGAGTCTGCAAGGAGCATAGTCATGTCCCATCTCGGCACAAATACTTTGCTGAGCCTAAAAATATGCGCAGCCGGGTCATGTTCCCAAGCAGGGCAGCGACCAGCGGGGTGGAAGTTGGAAGAGGCGCAGCAGAAATGACCGCAGAAATGCTCTTGCTTCAGCAGGCAGAGGCTGAACCTGCTCAGGGGTGAGATCTGCGCTCAGCAAAACCGCACAGTTCACAGGCCCAGCCTTCGCCGCGGGGGAAGCCTCATCCGGCAGCCAAGGAGCCAGAGGGATCCGCGCCTGGCGCCGAGCGCAGCCGAGACGCGCAGCCTCGATGGAGGTGATCGCGCTCGCTCGCTCCTGGGACGCCGCTGAGGCCATCCCTTCGCTGTGCCTCCTTGCTGCAGCCTGCCGAGAGGATCGGGCCGTTGTGGTGCCGCTGCAGCGCGGTTTGCCGGGAAGCGGAGCTGCGAAGAGACAAGTTTTCAGTAGCGGGATCTGGAGGGGGGCCCAGAAATGCCACCTCAGCCTGTGCAAGCGCTGTTCGCTTCATCCCCATCACATTCATCCTCACGGCGTGCCAGCTGAGCTGCTCTGCAGTCCGAGCTGATTAGCTGTGGTTTTGGTTATGGGCTGCCCAGATTGCTGCTTTGTGCTATGGGGCAGTTCCTTCCATCCCTGCACTGCAGGGCTCTGTGGTAAATTCGCGTGAGCCAGAAAATGGTGCGCTGGGGGCAGAGGAGGAGTGAGCCTTGTAGGAGCCTTGGGGTTGGTGGCCATGCTGCCCTCCATGCCACTCCGTGGCCTCGCGGTGCTGATTCCAGAGGGAGCAGCAGCTGGAGTGTGCGGGACACCCCGGAGGCAGAGCAGACCATGGGAAGGCTGCTCCCGGGAGACGTTAGTGCATGGAATGCTGCTTCCTGCAAAGCAGCATGTGAGCCTGCGACCTGCCTGTTCCACACTGGGCCTCTCTGCAGTGCCGCTCAGCTCAGTCAGAACAGGGAAGGAAAACGTGTTTTCTTGCTTCCCCCTTTCTCACAATGGGGAGGTATTTTGGGGTGACTCTGTGTCCTCTTGGTGTTCCTGTGTTCCTCCTGCAGAGGAGATGGCAGCTCTGAAGCCTCCTGGATTTCTAGAAGCCCAGCGAGATTTCTGCAGGCTCATGCGGGGACTGGGGGGCACCCGGACAGCTGCCGCCTCAGCCCCCTGTTCCCACATAGGTTTTCAGCCCTCATTTTTGTGTCTCAGCTCGGTTCCTGGGAGGGGACAATAGCGGGGCTGTTAGACAGGCTCGTGTCTTTCTCATGCAAATGTGCCGCCAGCATCGCTGGGATTTGAAGCCCCTGGGACTGGACTCGCTTCCTCCCACCCTCCTGGAGGTGCTGGGGGGCACCCAGCTGCCCTCGCTGCCGAACGGCCCCTGCTATTGCCCTCCCCGCCTCGGCCACAGCTTTTCCATATGTTGCTGCAAGCTGGATCGCTCCATGCCCAGCGCATCTCTGAATTGCACAGGGAATTTTTTCAGCTTTCAGGGTGTGATATAAATAAAATATCATGTTATTATTAACACCTTCATCATGTTCTGCCCTGCCAGAGAAGCAACTCATCACGAGAACCATTACATTCCCCGACGCTTCATGTAATATTAACCAGGGCGGCAGTGTCGGGAGCAGGAGCGCAGGGAAGGGAGTGGAGACGGATCCCATGCACAGCCGGCCCCCGAACTGACCCTGCTGTAACCACACTGCCGCGCTCGGGCCTGGCACATCCTGCCAGCCCGCGAGGAGAGGAGGACTCCAGGGATGCCCCTCATCCGGAGCTTGTGCCCCTACTAAGCCATTGCCCAGAGGCATTTCTTCACAGACGGAGCTGTGGTTTGCTAGCCAGAGAGCCCTGCTGAGCCCCAGGAAGCCCTGAGCACGTTCCCTGGTGCAAAGTGGCTCCAAAGGGCTTGTGCATGGTCTTGGGATGCACTGGACAGCCGTGGCTGGAGGAGGAGCGGCCTGGAAGTGTCATCTCCTTGTGTGTGCTGGCTGAGCAGCAGTGCGGTGCCGCGGGCGCTGTGCCGTGTCCGGATAGCGCGGCAGGATGGTGCTCTGGAAAACACTTGGCTGCACCAGCAGCGGGTTCCCCGGCAGGGAGAACGTCCTCTAGAGTGAGTCAAGCCTGCTGGGAGGTACACGGTGTTCTCTGCGCTGGTCCATGCTGCACATCAGGAAGCTGGGATGAATTCCTGCCTCCTCCGGTACGGATGCTCTGGGCTGGCCCTGCAGAGAGCAGCCAGCGCTGCAGCAGGTCCAGCTGCAGGGGAAGAGCTTGCAGTGTTGCAGTGAAGCCTCCGAGTCAAGTGCAATGCTGGAAAATTTGGCAGTGTGCTGCTCCAGCTCGAGCCAGAGCTGCCAGGGTGGTGGGAGTTCCTCGTGGAGTGGATCATGGCTCCACGTGCATGTTGCTTTCCTGCTTTGCAATGTGCTATTGCCTGCGAGGAGGCTCATTGTCTGGCAGAACAGCCCATGAAGAACAAATGAAGATCAACACTGTGTTGGTGTAGATGAAACAGCACATTTCTATCCCCTGCCCAAGAGCATCTCCCCGGCTGCATCCCAACCAGGTACGTCAAGGGGTGACCAGCTGATAGGGAAGAGGAACTATTCATGGCTGCATCCGCCTCTGAATTTCAGGCAGCAACAGTGTGGATTTTATTTTTAAGCTGGTTTTGGCAGCCAACTTGCTCCAGTTTTCTTTCTTTAATCACAACCAGATGCACATAGGTCCCATTTCATACAGACCTGGGTGCCAAGCAGGAGAGTGACTCACACGGCAAAGGAAGGCTGGATGTGCCAACACACAAGGCTTGGGTGCATGTGTGCCTGGAAGTGCCAGGCAGCAGCTCTCGATGGCATCTCGCTGGATGGAGTACGTGGAGCTAATAAAACTGGAGACCTGGAGCTGGAGGAACCGAGGCTTTTGCATTGGTTTTGCATTTGGTTTCTTTTCTAAATGTCAAACTCAGTAAAAAAGCAATAGCTACAAAAGCTAAAGCAATAGCAAAAATAGCAAAAGCAATAATCCTCCATCAAGAATTCTGTTTCTTGAGACTAAAGCAAGGGGGGAACGACCCAAGTGTGAAGCATGGCAGGGGCCCCGCTCTGCTGGCCACCAGGGACCATCCGCCCCCTTGGCCTGGGATGGGGCAGAGCTGCCACGAGCAGCAGCTCCGCTCGAGTTCAGCTGCTTGAAGGGGCTGGGGCTGCTGCTGTCCTGGGAGCTGGAAGCGGAAAGCTAATGAATCCGAAGGCAGTTTTGATCTCATTAGGAAAGTGAGGCTCTTGACCTAGCACAGCCCTTCCCTTGCTTCCCCCAACTGTGCAGGGATCTTTGCTCCTAGGGCTGGGAACTGCTGGGACAAATCCTGGACTGTGATTGCTGGGATGAATGCGGCGTGCTGCAGGAGCAGCAGGTTGCTATGTTACCGGCTGCGGCGCCGGCGCTGCGCGGAGCTGGCGCACCGCTGCACGGGGAGGCAGCGCTGCCGGGCGCCGCGGGGAGCGAGGGGCTGCGTGCGGGGAAACGGCCCTGTGCAGGACGCGGTGAGGCTGAGCACTCAGAGCGGCGCCGCGGCCACGTCGACGTGTGGCAGACAGGAGGCAGGAAACCTCCTGTCCGAAGGGGACGTTGGTGCTGCCTCTGCGCTGGCGCGAATGGCATTGCCTTGCTGCACTGCGGGGGTCTGGGGAGGGGCTGTTCCCGCCTGTCAGCCCCATCCCGAGGCATCAGCAGCCTCCAAGCCTGGGGCACAGTTCCCCACCCCACCTTGTCCTCTGCATCCTCTGTCCCCAGAGCAGTGGAGAACAGCGCAGCCGGGCTGGTTTCCATGGAGAGAGCGTGACTTTCCCTCCGGAGAGGCTGGGTTTGCTACACAGGAGCCGCGTCTGGCTCTTTGCAATGGATCCCAGCTGCTTCTCTTTGCACGAGAAAAGCTCTGGCAGGGGCTTTGCTGCGGGGCTGCGGGTGCCCCTGTCCTCTGCAGGCTGGGCTAGGAGGAACAACATCTACCCGGGCACCTCTTGGGGTGCACCAAGTGCGCTCGGCCTGGTCCACAGCAGGGATGGGCACTGCACAGACAGCTGGTTCACATCCTGAGCACCACGGGTGTGCAGGGCCCTTGCTGGCGTCCCGGACGTCCTGCTGCGAGCTGGTGTCGAGGGGAGCGAGGTGGTGAGTGACCCTGGTGCTGGGCAGGCTTTGAGAAGATACCGTGTCTCAGTGCCCAGCCTGGAGGAGGAGAAGGCCCAGCAGAGGTGGCCTCTGCTCTGCGGGACTTGTCCGCGCAGCCGTCGGGGAGTTGCTGGGTGCCGCTGTGCCGGCCGTGCCGCGTCCTCCGCCGTGCCGTGGGCCAGCCGCGAGCTGGCACAGGAGGGACCCCGCGCGGTCAGCCCCTTCTCTGGCCCGCTCAGCCAAGGCAGGTCCTCATCCTCTCGGAAGCAGCACCACCATCATCCGAAATTCATGGGCGGCCTGACTGCATCCAGGAGCCGTCGGACACGGGCCGGGCGGGAAAGCCCCGGCTCCGCACGCTCCGCAGGGCCGTGCAGGAAGCGCATCCTGTTCCCTCGGCCGCGGGGCGGGCGCCTCGCGGAGGAGGAGGCAAACTCAACAAGGGCCCTGGTGTCTCCACTTCCCCTTGTGATAAATAAACATCTGCTTCTCGCCCCTCCAGGAAATTTCAGCCATTGTAAAGCCAAATATAAAGCTGAATCAGTGCTTTTAAGCCGTGATGAGCTGATTACTCCATTACTGTTTACTAAGGCATTTGCAATCATGCACAGAATGTGCTTCAAATAAAAATGTGATGTGACAAAGGCTTTAATGGCCGAGATTTGCATTGGAGAGGCGTGTGGTGTGTGCATGGTACGTGCGTGTGCGTGGAGCGGTGCTGGTTCGGACTGGGCTTTCTGCCTGCTCACAGAGCAATCCTAAGATCATCCCACTAATTTATAGCTCGTTCTCCAAATCCTGGCACATCTCTTTTTATACAAAAAAAAAGGCAGCACGGTCCATGTCTGGGTTTGAACCACACGCAGATGAACCATCTGCTGCAGTGGCAGCGCTCCTCGTCCACTGCCTCCTCTGCGCTGCACCTTGCTGCCATTAGTGCTACAGCAGCTGCATGACAAGTAACAGAGCAAACCTGCAAGGGTGGAGAGGGAGGCAGGTCTTGCTCCACAGTGTCACAGCCCTCTCGAGCTCCCTTCCCTTCAGAGCGCCAGCACCGCTGCCTCTGGCTGGCCGGATGCTTACTTGAGAGGGATGAAAAAATGCATTTATTTCTAGTATCCAAAGGGATAAATCTAGCAACACAAGGACCAAACCTTGGGATACCTCAGGACAGCTGTCTTGCTTGTATGTTTGATTGCAGCTTGGGCTTCTGGCCTGCCCATGTGGACAGCCTGAGGGTCGAGGCTTCGCACTCTTAGCTCTCCTGCCTCTCCTGTCTGCAGGCTCAGCGTATTACGATAACGTCCGGCCCTTGGCCTACCCGGACTCGGATGCGGTACTCATCTGCTTCGACATCAGCCGCCCAGAGACGCTGGACAGTGTGCTCAAGAAGGTCAGTGCTCAGCGCGTCCTTGCCTCTGACGTGGGACATTCTACAGCAGCACGTGGGGCAAGTTGGGGCCCTGCTCTCAGGTGCTGTTCAGGGCTAGAAATCCAGCCCATATGGCCAGATTTTAGCTGGAGTTGGCGTGCAGATGAGGATGGTCTGCTGCTACCAATCCCCGTATTTCTGTAGCAGGAAGCAAGATATTTCCATTTGAAAGGATCCCTGTGAATAGTGTAGCTCATGGTGCCTCGCAGGGGAGGTATCTATGCATATGCGCATGTGCAAATGCGGAAACAGAAGGAAATGCCCAGCATTTGTTCTGTTTCTAATGAAGACCTTGGAAAGCATTGTGCATCCCAAGTTAGTGTAGCCACCAGTCAGCATGTTCTGAATCACTCGCAGCAGTTGAGAAGTGGCCCTGGTGCCTGTTTCCATGCAAGCAGAGTACTCGGGTTGTTGGCTGTCCCCTCAGTTCAGCATCTGCACTGTGGAAAGGACAGCAATCAGCTCCCTGCAGCCTGACAACAAGAATAATGAGCTGCGGGCACTGAATTTCAAGTCTGCACATGAATAAAACGCCATGGCAGAGTGCCACTGGCCTGGGCAGCATGCAGGGCCTGGGCTGCTGCCAGCCCCGGCAGGGCTGAGCAGTCCCGGGCTGCGCTGCTGCGGGATGCAGGGGCAGCAGCACCCGGCAGGAGAGCCGCTCTCCCCGGCAGCACCCGTGCAGCCGCAGGAGCTGCAGCAGTGCAGGAGCTGCAGCAGTGCAGGAGCTGCTCCGTGCCCTGCCACCCAGCGTCAGCACCCCTGCTGCTCCATGCTGCATTGAAGGAGTTGTGGTTTCAGTGCACTCTCACCACAGAGTTTGTCCCTGTATCGTGTCCCAGAAGTGAGTCAGGGCTGGCATCCAGATGGTGAAGCTCTCCAAGTTACTGAGCCGTGAGAAGCCCTGCAAAATTGGAGGCGATTCCTGCAGTTTTCCTCAATTAGCCCCAGCTCCTGGGGCCGGACGGTGGTGTCTACCCTTCGACCTCTCTGTATGTTGCCACATGCTGTGCCGAGTCAAATGGCTCTCACTGAGCGCGGGGAGGGCTGAGAAGCGGAGCTGGGGCTCCACGTCCTGCTGAGGGGACAAAGACCCCTCAGACGAGGCGGTCAATGGCTCAGTGTTCAGCTCCAAAGCCGTTCCCGCTGCAGGGCTGCGGGCAGAGGCGTGCGTGCTCCGTGTGTGCTCAGAGAGTTTGCTCCTCGGCTTGGGAGTCAGCAGAATAATAATCCAGCAAATTGCTCACCTTAATGAGCTGCAAACCCACTAGCAATTAGCTAGAGCTGAGATTTATTTATGTGTCTCTGCAGATATTCTTTATGTGAGACTACACACTCCTCAGTGCAAGGCCTTTGCTGTGCCACCTCATAGATGCTTCGAATACAGTCAGGCAGTGTCTTTCTGATACGGTGGCTTAAAATAAGCCCTAAATCACAAGGGATTTCTTAAGTGCCTCTGAGTAGATGCCTCCTTTCCTTTGGCGCAGGCTTGCAGCCGACAGAGGTGAAGAGAATTCCTAAGACACCATGAAGCTGAAACGGGCTTTAGCTTTTGATATCTGTCGATTAAGGAGAGTAATGCTGCCTCTTCCAGCTGCGGGCGAAGATGCTAATTCAGCAGAGGAAATCTTTGTTATTGCTGCCCGTCTGAACTGGCAGAATAAGAACTGGCTTTTGATTTGTCAGACCTGGGTTGTATAAATAGCATGTACAAGTGAAGGGGAAGGAGCAAACAAACAGCTTTTCATTTCGTACAAAGTTGGTTTTCATGGGTGGTGCCTTCAGTCAGACAGGTCTTGCTAGTGCAGCAGGTCTTAGCTCCATGCCAGGGTTTGGTGGTGTAAGAGGAGGGTCACGGCACCCCATAGAATAGGAAACATACGTTGTTACACACTCCAGGACCTGCCGGGTTAGACATGACCCTACGGCTCCATCGCTTCGGGGATTTGCGTTGTAGCATCCTCCTCCTCCTGGTGTTCTGGCGTTGCACAGCGCACAGATGTGACACTAGATGCCTCCACGAGCTGGGCAGCCCGGCGTGCTGCTCCCTCTGGATCCATGTGCAAGTTCCTCTGGCAGCAGGAGAGGGAAGTTCATAGCGAAGCAGTATGAGACAACCTCCTGTTGGAAAAGAAGCCTTTTCCATATTTTGCAGTTGCTCTGTGGCCAGATGTAGCTTGTGTCATCCTTAGTGCTTCCTCTTCCCTCCAGGTGATGGACACCAGGTGGTGGGCTTGCTTTCTTCTTCTGCTTGCCTGGGGTATGTGCTTTACTGCCAGCTGCGTGGCAGGAAACTGCTAATTCCAGGTGACAGCTCTAGCTGGTGGTGTCTCCGCTCGTGATCTGCCTACCTCTTCCAAAGCACTAGCCATGTGAGCAGTGTTGGCACACTGATGGCAACTGTGCAAGTCTGCTCTGGCAGAGGTCACAGGTGATGGTTTCATTTACTGCTGCAGACACTTAGCTGCGTATTGAACATTCATTTCTGCAGCTCTCAAACTCCATTAGTGCCAAAGAAGGGGATGTTTGCCTTGACCTTCCATTGCTTCAGCTCTTTACTTCCCTAGCTGTAACTATGCTCTTAATGTCCTTACAAATGTAGCTCCTGATGATAAACAACTAATGAGTGTTCTGAGCAAACTGCTCCCTGCTGATGGTGCTCCAAAACGCCTGGCAAGGGCGACCTCCGGGTGCTAGCAGGGGCCTGGTCCGGGCTGGTGTCATGATGCTGCTGTCTTGCTCCTTCCTCCAGGGCCAAGGGGAGCTCAGACCCTCTTGGCCCCATCTGCAAGGGCCAGAGACCCTGCAATTGCCTTTGTATTCCCAATCCCTGCCCTTTGCCTGCTGCCAGGGTTGTCTTGCAGGGTGGCCGCTGGTCTCCTGCTGCTCTGAACATCTCTCTCTGTGCCTGCTGCAGTGGCAAGGGGAAACTCAGGAATTCTGCCCCAATGCGAAGATTGTGCTGGTGGGCTGCAAGCTGGACATGCGGACAGACCTCAACACACTTCGGGAGCTTTCCAAGCAGCGCCTCATCCCTGTCACACACGAGCAGGTGCGTCTGGGCCACCACTCCAGCAGGTTCCTCGGAGTGAGGGAGGGGGCTTTTTCCAAGGATATTAGTACTAGGAAGCTCAATAGCAGGTGAACCTCTGTGGTGGGGCTTGGCCTGAAGCTGTTTTGGTCTTGGCTAAAGGAGCTGTCTCTGAGCTGCTCCTCTCCAGCACTCTCCTCCCTGCCCTGGGGGAGAACCTGGCTGGTTCCCAGCCCTGCCGAACCACCTCCTGCTCAGAGGTAGGAGAGACGCCCACGCTGACAAACTGAGCGTCTCAAGGGGAGGGCACAGGAGGTGCTTCTTAGGTCACCACAGCTCTTCCTGCTCCGCAAGCGATTCCTTGCTCATCTCCTGCATCGGGGCTGCTGCTGCCGGCAAGGAGGCAAGTCCTGGCTGGCTGTGTCCCCAGCTTCCCATGGTGGCGACCCACCAACATCCTAGGGCCAGGCGATGGCCCTGGCGAGAGGGAGGGGAGGCCGTGGTGGAGGCTTGCGGTGCTGGCGCCAAAGCGCGAGCAGCTCCGCTCCGGCCGTGCTTTGCCAGGCCGCCAACGAGGCCGGAGCTGCACGTGGCACGAGCGGACGCTCCCCGCAGTGCCAACCTCCTAACGCCTCTCCTCTGGTCGCAGGGCAGCGCGCTGGCGCGGCAGATCGGCGCCGTGGCCTACGCCGAGTGCTCCTCCAAGGTCTCGGAGAACAGCGTGCGGGATGTCTTTCACGTCACCACGCTTGCCTCGGTCAACAGGGTGCACAAGAACTTGAAGCGCAGCAGCTCCAAGCGAGGACTGAAGCGGGCGTCGCAGATGCCTGGCAGGACGGACTTGCTCAGTGATGCAGAGATCAGGAAAGACCGAGCCAAGAGCTGCTCCATCATGTGAAAACAGGCTGTAAATAGTGCGTGTGTCTTGTCCATTTGTACAGTAACTGCCCGGCAAGGGCCTGGCGCCGGCTCGGGGCAGCCTGCCTCCCCAGGGCGAAGGTCCTAGCTGCAAACCAGGGTGCAGGGTCACCCGCCATGGAGACCTCTGGGCTGGCGGCTGCTGTGCCGACTGCTTGGGGCAAAAGAACCGCTTGGCCGAGGAGCTTTCAGGTGCTGGAAAGTCTGCGATGGGGTGAAGAAAGCAAGAGGGAGCAACCGCAGCGTGCCGCTTGCCCCGGGCCCCACGCCTGCCTAAGCGGGAGCCCGCGAGCGCCGGGCAGGGCGGGAGGGCAGCGGGAGGAGCTGGTGGCAGCGAGGGCTGCTGGGGACAGCGCTGTGGCAGTTGCCCTTTTGGAGAGGTGAGGCTGGCACCAGAGCTGCCCTCAGGCGCTGGACAGGGGTCACTGGGGAAGCTGCCACTTTGGGCAGAGCCGGGAGAGAAGGACCTGGGAGGAAATCAGTCTGCTGGGACCCCATAGCCCTCTGCCCCCACAGAGGAAATCAGTACCTTGCTCTTGTCAAATTTAGGCGCTCAAACTCCATGTGAGCAGTGGTGAAACACAGCAGGGTGGGTCTGGCTCCAGGGAGAGCTCTGTCCCAGAAGAGGCATCCTGAGAACTGTGGTTCCCTTCAGCAAACGCTCCTCAGGGCTCGTGCCCCAGCTGCTGACAGCCTGGCCGGTCCCCGTGCTGCTCCCGCCGCAGCAGCTGCGCTCCCGAGGCACAGCGCTCCCGAACACGCAGAGTGCACTGACCATCCACGTGCTGCTCCCCACCCGTTTCCAGCTGCAGATTGTGTTGCATGGTGCTGTGTTTGTCTGGTTCAGCTGACCAAAAAGATTCAATGTGTATCTGCGCCCTGTCTCCGCTGTGGCGGTGGAAGGGATGGTGCTTCCTGCTCTTCTTGCCGTGCTGTACAGCCTGCTGCAACACCTCATCGCTTCTGCTGCTGCTGCCCTCTCTAATGCCTTTGACTACAGTGTTAGCCTTGACTCGATGTCACATAGACAGCATGAAAAAAAAAAAAAAAAAAACCCTGATCCACAGCAAGACTAAGCTGTGTCAGTGAGCTACAGGAAACAAATAAACGTCACTGGAAAATGGACAGTGCCCGACTCTGTTTTAATTTAATTCTACATTAATTTTCTTGTAAGATGTGCTTATGAAGTAAAACATTATTGAGGAAGTGCATTTCCCTGTTAAATGTGCTTTCTCGATGGATGTGCCCTACCTGCATACACATGCTTGTATTTGTGCGTACGCGTCCCCGCGTGCTCAGCTCAGGGAGCGGTGCCCGCTCTCTGCCTCCGCGCCGAGCTGGGCCGCGAGCGTGGTGGCTGCTGGGGCCATCTCTAGTCGCAGACTCACACAGAAACACAGACTCACAGAACGGCTGAGGTTGGCAGGGAGCTCCAGAGACCATCCAGTGCAGCCCCTGCTCCAGCAGGGACACCCAGCGCAGGGGCACAGGGTCCGTCCAGGCGGGTTTGGAGATCTCCAGAGCAGGAGCCTCCACAGCCTCTGGGCAGCCTGTGCCGGGGCTGGGCACCCTCACAGCAAAGTTCTTCCTCGCACGGAGGTTGAACTGCCTGGGTTTCAACTCGTACCCGTTTCCCCTTGTCCTATCACCAGCCACCACGGAGAAGAGCCTGGCCCCATCCTCCCTACATTCCCCCCTCAGGTACTTGTGCGTGGTGATCAGGTCTCCTCTCCATGTTCTCCAGGCTGGGCAGGCCCAGCTCAGCGGGCGGCAGCGCGGCGGACGCTCTCCGCGACGCCGCGCTGGGCGTCTCTGCTTGCGGCAGCCCTTGCTGGTGAGCGGTGATCCATCAGAGCGTGCGAGGATGACACGAGCTTTAATAAAAACTCCATTACGATTCCAAATTAGGTTTTAAGTGTTAATTAATGGGCACCTTCTGAGGCAAGGTAACATGTTACAGTGACATTTCCTGTCAGTTTGATCCCATCTTTATTAATCAGGCATTTGGTGTAATAGCATTGACCATAATGAACCTAAACTACTAAAAAGAAATATATAAAGCTTTTATTCATCATTAATAGCATCTTCCTGGTGTATTACTTTGTTAGTTTTACAGGTTATGGAGCTTTAGTAATCTGAGGAGCCAAGGGAAAAGGAAATAGAGAGGAGGATCAAATAGAAAAAACTGAAAGCATTCAAAGAGCTTATTCTTTCTTACATTTTACTTTTAAGCTCACAAACTGCAGCGCAGGCACAAAAACTCACCACCTCTTTGGCACGGTGTCCACCTCTGTCCCAAGATGAGGTGCAAATGTCTCTGTTCCTACTGTGCACTCTCACTCTGCCTCCAAAGGGCAGAAAATACACAGAGGCATCCATCTTCCAGTTTATATTTGATGGATATTTTTCAATGTTCTCCAAGAAAATTATTCCTCAAGGCAGACACCTGCAGCGAGAGGGCATTGCAGCACTGTTCTGCTGTTGGGCCATGAATAACCTCCCACGGGGATCGATGGATATTTTCCATTAGTGTCAGCCAGCTGGAGACGGCGCTGGAAGCAGCCGGGATGCCCAGATGAGCCGTGCGACGCAGCAGAGCCGCTGCCTGCTCACAGCGCTCGCTCCTGACACGGGGACGCGGGGACAGCACGCAGACCGCAGCAAGGCCTGGAGCCTGCTCGCTGCATGAGCCGCTATTACAGCAAATACAGTCTTTCTCTAGCTGCAGTTTGTTCTTTAATACGCAGCTTATTCATGCTGAGTTAAATATACTCTTTACAGGATCACAGCGAGCGAGTCCCACCAGCCCCACTGTGATACAGGTCTAATGTGGCATCACGAGGAGCCCCTTCGTGCCCATTCCCACCGTATCCTCTTGACTATTGCAAATCCAGGAACAGTTAAAGCATTGGCTGTAATTTTAAGTAGAACAGGTTAGTGCAGAAGAATACAGAGAGGGCTAAGGTCCTTTGGGGATCTGGGGAAGAGTCTCAACACAGAATGAAGCAGTCATGAGCCATCAGTGAACCTACAAGTCTTTGGAAACTGAGTGATCCTGGTCTGTCCTTCCCTGCAGGTGCTGTTTTGACTTATTGATGATTAAAAGACTTTCAGCAGTCTGGAGGCCCGTTACCAGGATGCTAGAGGTTTAGACTGCTTAGAGAGCACTGTGCCAGACTTCTTAATAAAAGCTGGTGCTGTGACGCTGACCTCCCCTGCTCCAGCTTGGATTTGGGCTTCTGGAGTGCTACCCTGTCCCAGACACAGTTGACAAAGCCCAGAAATTAACAGATTAAAAACTGTTCCCAGAACAAGGAAATAGTCTCATGAGAAAAGCACGCCAACTATAATAGAAATTCTTAACAAACCTCAAAACACTTGAGCTTTTATTTTCTTTTTCACTGAAGTGCAGGAAACTGCATTTAAAGGAAATCTGCAGAGAGAAGTTAGCTGCTGCAGCATGATGCAATGTGGAGCAAGCGCAAGCCAATCTGCAGAGGACGAAGTCCTGTTCTCGTTGCACGGCTCACTTTGAAGCACGTTATCAGTGCAGTGGGTATCTGTTGCAGCTCATTAACAGAGCAGAGCATGTGCAGCAGCAGCCAAATGGCAGCAATCACAGACTGGAGAATTCCAAATTATTTTCCTGTGATTTGTTTGCATTATCTCTTTAGTCCATAACAAAATGGACGGCTTAGCAATTTCCAAGGATAATGCAGAACAGTGGTATGCCTTGAGGGAAGTGCAGAGGGTGTAAGCGAGAACAGGCCCCCCCCTGGATCTTGCTCATATGGGCTCCCTGATAAGCTTTAATTACTGACTTGACCTTGGTCTTTATCTGGAGAAAGAATATGAGATGCTGAGTAATTGCTGTCAGAAGAGGTTTAACTCATTAAATGTCCACATGAGGAAGCTTTATCAGGTCCCAATGTTGCCAAGTGGACTTCAAGAAAATGAAAATCGTCAGTTTTTGTCATCAGCCTTAAAGCCGGTCAGGAGACAATTAATGGATGGACCTAACAACATTAAGCTGGTGCATACCATTGGCATCACCAGCCAGCATTAACTACAGGGGTGTCAAAACCACACGGAAAGGTTTGAGGGAAGAATTGCTGGGATAAAGAGAGTGCAGAGGGCTGCAGATGTCAGCACAGTGAAATGCACGGCACCTCTGCAGGAGGATGGGCTGCTTCCTCTCCAGTCCATCCAGGTTGCTGAATCCATTCCCAGGACCACTTTCCCACACAGAGGCCAATCCCATTCTTCTCGGAGCAGATTGGATGCAGCTGGGTACACCAGGACACTCAGCAGCACCTGAGAAGCCCATCTGGAGCCTCTAGCTGTGAGTCGCTGCCTTCTCTGTGAGTGCACAGAGCAACGCTCTGCTTCAAGACTCCTGGAATCCAGCACTCCCCAACCAGGAAGATGCTGATGGGTTTTACACAGCAGCGTGGAACTGAGCTGCACCCAAGTGTGCTGTAACATGGAGGGGGAGAGCCCTGAGGTAATTGCATGTACACTGAACACAGCAGTGTTTACCTACGCATTAATGTGTCTACCCATACCTTTATCTGTGAGATCATCAGATGCTCTCATGCTGTCTTTTGCTTCCTCCTGGCTGTTTCTGGCTGCTTGTCACACAGATCCTCAAGCTGGGCTCCCACCTTCACAGCCAGCCCACCCCAAGGCTTAATTTTGGGGTCAAGATCTCTAATTAGCCAGAAGCAATGTGACATTTTCATCAGAAAGGGAGAATGTTTCTACTCTGTTATAGCATTAGAAAAAGTAATGCACAGGATTGCTCAATTTCTTCATGCCTTAGAATTCATCACAGATGCCCTTTGGGTCCTGTGGCAGTTGTCACTGTGTTTATCTCTGACAGCCAGTGTTTTTTACTCACAGAAAATGACACATAACATGTTGCAGAAGCTTCACTGCAGCAAGACAATTCTGCAAACTTTGCTGCAAGTTGGAGTTTCCAGCTGCTGCTGTGATTTCAGTTCCCTCTGTTGTGCTGTATTACACCCCTCAGTAACTTGTTTCTCGTTAGGTATTGACA